GAAGCCCATTACAGCCTATGTGTGCATGGACACATAGGATAACATGCTGGGGGGTTTACTGGCTGTAGAAAAAAAAAGTCAAAAGCAAAAAACAGCCGCTGAAAAAATGTCCAGTGTGCATGAGGACTAAATAGTGTTATCCTATGTGTCCATGCACACTACTTTAGGCCATTGGCATTTTTTTGAGCCTTAGTGACTAGGAGCAGAAAAAAAAATGTTTTTGTAGAGTTATTTTGGAGTGTTTTTCTAGCAGAAAAGAAATGCTAAATGCTGCTAAAACACTCCTAACAGTTTTTTTCAAGCTTTTTTCCTCTACATGTACAATAAAAACGCTAATGCTCTTAAACGCTTCTGGACACTATTAAAACGCTATAAAAAATGCTGTTGCCAGCGGTTTTTATCATGTGTTTTTCTCAGCATTTTTTGGAGCTTAAAAAAGGCTAGTGTGCATGGAGCCTTAAAGTGATATTAAAGGCATATAAAAAAAAAAAAAAAAAAAAAAAAAAAAAAAAAGCAAAAAAACCCCTAAACATGTCATTATTACCTGCTCTATGCAGTGGTTTTGCACAGAGCAACCCCCATCCTCCTCTTCTCGGATCCCCCGCCGGTGCTCCTGGCCCCTCTCTCCTGCCAAGTGCCCCCACAGCAAGCAGCTTGCTATGGGGGCACCCAAGTAAGCTCACTCCCAAGCTGCTACCCTGTGTGTCCATTCACACACAGAACCATGGCTTGTCCCCGCTCACTCTCTCTTCTCATTGGCTCACTGGCTGTGATTGAGGACGGAGTCCCCGGAGAGTCGAAGCTCTCATGTACATTGCTGAATCACAATTGGTCGGTGGTAAATATTGGGGGGGAAGCTGGACAAAGAAGGTTTTTACCGTCACGCATACAATGCATGAAGGTTAAAAACCTTAAACCTTTACAACCACTTTAAGCTGGCCAGAGATGGGTAGAAAATCTCTCAAAAACTCATACACTTTTGATAAAGATCTGTTGAATGAGTATGCAATTATGCCATTGACACAAATTTTTCCACCCACTTGATGACATATTGTCGTTCATTTACAACATAAAAGATACATTTTTTGTTGATCGATTTGACATGCTCCTGAGCACTACGATTTTTTGTGTTATTTTCAATCTATTCCACTACTCAAGCTTCGAAAACTGTTCGCTGGCACTACAAGATTTCGACATGCTGGTTTGTTTTTGTTTTTTTCGATAAATCTTTGCATCTCGAGAACTGAAATGAGCCCACTAACATTTAGAAAGTTGAACAATCAATCATTTCAAATGATTTCTTAAAAAATGTTTTAACCATCTATGGCCAGCTTACCTAAAATTACCTTGATGGCGAGAATGGCATAGATGTGAGGAGCTCGGACTTCACAACGTGGGAGGAGACAACATTCAGCGGTAAATGTGACATAATATGCAAGAATGCTGTGCATACGTACACATGACAAATACTGGCCATGCCCACCATACTTTAAGCTGACCCTTTCAGATCCACTATGAGAAAACGTCACTGCCCCAAAACTAGTATGAGACCCAGAAACCCAAGAAGAGTAGTTTCTACCAAAGAAATCTCAGAGAGGATTTTTGCTTCATGGTTTCGAATATAAAAAAGAACATCACATCCACCAGACTGGCAGTGCAAACAAAGTTCAGTTATCAGAATGACACAGCATGTGAAGGTGTAACAAGCAGAAATAAAAATCTTTTCAAGCCGAGCTTTTCTCACCGTACCTTGTACCAGCTGTTGCTTTGCTGCTGTTTTGTCTTCCAGCTCTCCCCAAACACGAGGCAAATTCTGTATTTCTGATAAACGATTATGTTTTAACTGTAACAAAAGCTTCCGCTTGATATATCTGACATTTGGCTCAGGAAATTGACTGTAAAATGTAGTGTTAAGTTAAGACAAACGTAAAGCGGAACAACACTGCATCTGAGCACCACAAACCAAAAACTCCATTTAATTCATTTTTAATATTCAAAGCAAACTCAAGCATGCATTCATGTCTCACTTTGAAAAACACCCCCTGGAATTTCTAGCCATCTTGAATAAGTGGAGATGATTTGTGTAGCATTTACTTCCAGGAATCCATCTGCCTTTAGCTGAGAAAGCCCCTCCTCAAGACTCCTGAGATGTATGACATCATTTGTCTGGGCCTGAAAACAAGGAAGCAACTGAGAAATTGTAAAAAGAAAAAAAAAAAAAGTTTAAAACAAGTAAATATGATATAATTACCTATTTACTAATGCTAGCAGCAAAATAATTAAAAATAGTGAATGTTGATTGAAGAATAACATTTTACTTTTCTGTCACAAGCACACAAATATGCAGAACCATCTTTCATACGAAATAGCTAAATAAGTCACTATGAAATTAAAAAACTTGAATAAAGACAGAAGTTTGGCTAAAGCAGAACTTAAAGTAGAAGTTCACTTTTGGGAACACGTTACATGTTCCACCCAATTTTAGGGTGGACTATGCAACAGGTTACCACTCATGCAGATCTCCCCCAGATCCCCTGCCCCCCTCCTTGTGACAGCAGACTGGGAATCTTCTGCCCGCACCCGCTATCACTATTTGAAAAGAGTGTGGGGGTGTGGGGCTCCGCCCACATAACCACATCATTCATTCACGGAGTTCTGTGATTTAATAGACTAAAAGTACCAACAACCTTTGTGGCTGATGGCTTGTAGTGCTCAATGAATTGCAAGGGCACTGGATAAATATCCTCGTAGTTCATTGATTCTTCCTGGATTGAAGTTAACTGCCTGCCCATAACAGGGGTGCAGGCAGACAGCTACTCTGACAGTCTGCAGGGGCCTAACAGTGCACCTGTGATCTGCTGTACACTGGGCTATGCTTTTCAGGCTCCTAAGAAAAATTGATTTCACATAAAGTGAGCAATACAAAGGAAACAGGATACTTTTTCATACAATTACATGGTACTGCAGGTACATATCAGGAATATGAAATGTTGGGTTTGCATATTCTTTAACCCAATGTACCTTGGGGTGATCTAGAAGTCTCCAGAATGTGCTGGGTTCTTTAAAACATAGTCAGAATGCCATATCTGACTCAAACTAGGATAAACAAACTGAAAATTAAAAGAATAATCTATCAGGGTAGGTACATAATTTAAGCAGCCAGAAGACATTTGTAGAGACATGTCATAATTTAAAATAACAGTAAAGGCTCTAAAATAGCAAGGCACACAGACATAATAGGACCTTTGTCTGTTCCAGCGGTTTACAATAAAACTGGGAAGCGTTTATTAATAGGCGCTTCACAATTTTTCATAGCATCCCTTGGCTGACCAATCTCTGATGAAGAATAGATTGACCCAAGAATGTTTTTTCATGCAATAGGTAATATTTCCCCTTCACGCAAGCCAGTACCAAGGGAAATATTTTTAAACTTCAACCAATTTTAGATCAGGTTTTTATGGCTATCTAGGAGGGAAAGCAGAATGGCATCCCTGTGCAAATTTACCTATGGAAAAAACAGCAGGAGGTGAGAAATTACAACCTGAAGAATCAATTCTTTTCTGCAGAAACTTTGCAAAATGGTGTCTGAAGAAGACAAGGACCGTCCACAGACCAACCATCACAATCATCTTATATCTGTGGGCCCCTTTAGCACCATAGGGGGTGCGGAAGTCGCAAAGGATACTGATTTCGATAATACTTTTCTATGTCTTGCAGCCACTCTAACATGTCAGCTACAGAAGGACTAAGAGCTGAACGCTTGAGAGAAGCATCAAGTCCAAGTTTCTCCATATTAATCTCATAAACATATAGAACAGATCCCACCTGGTGACTTACAGTGTCCCTCACTTTTTGAAGTGTACACCTGCAATTGGAGTGATAGAGAAAAATGATAGCCATCATTTGAAAACTTTCATGGTATTATTAATTATTCCTGTAATTTTCAATGTTTTTTTTTTTTTTTTTTTTACAGAGAGAGTTTATTGAACACAAAAAACACAGTACAAATATGCGATTAACAAAGAACAACAGCCAATGGACAAACAATCCATACAGTGCATGTGACAGCTATTAAAACAGAAAGGCACATGGGCAAAAGTCAGTCAAGGCAGAAGAGTACAATGGTTACATATGCACATTCCAAAATCACAGTATGATCCGAAGACAATAGAAAGCATATCAAACTTTCCTCCAAGCCACCAACCCAGGAGCCACGGCTAAAATAGGAGGGGAGGGGCATAGGAAGAATGAAGGGGGATGAGGAAAGGGGGGAGTGAAGGGCCGGCTATAGGTATCTGGGACTCGATCAGATTCTAAATCACCTCCCCAGGAATCTATCCAGGCCATCCAGATCTTAATCGAATTTCCTAGGACAATTACGACTGGCATAGGTGAGTTTATACAGAGGTAACACCATACTAATATGTTGCATGCCAAGATTCAATAGTCGAAGGCATAGGACATTTCCACTTAAGGAGAATTTCCCTCCTGGCATAGAAGGCGGCAAAAATTACAAATAGTATGACATAGCGACTACGTTCAGCTCCTTCCAGCACTCCTAAAAGCAACACCTTAGGGTCTGGGGCAAGGTCAGATCATAAGTAACATTAAGGCATTCAAGACAGAAGTCCAAAAATTCCTCAGTTTAGGGCAGATCCAAACCATATGATAGAAGTTACTTTCAGCCTGTTGACATTGGGTACATAGAGGACTGACTGAGGTGTATATACCGGCCAAGCGAACAGGAGTAAAGCAAGCTCTGTGGAGAAATTTCACTTGAAAAAAACCTATCTTTGGCTGAGACCATTTTAGTGACATAATGAGTGGTACACACATCCCAGTCTTCCCCAGTTGAATCAGGTAAGTCTGCCTGCCACTTACTGAACAGCTTAGTCAGTCTCAGCGAGTGAACCACCGAAAGGCGAAGGTAGATAGAGAACAGAGACTTCCCCTTTACCCTAGAGGTCAAGAGATGCTCCAGGGGATCAGACTCTAGAGTAACATCAGCTGGGAATTGCATAGGCACATGCGTATGCAAATAATTTTCATTGTTTAAACATTTTGGCACGTATTCCACTGTAAGCTGTTATTGTATATGTTATCATACAGTTATATTTCAGGATAAAATCCACTCAAAACATTTTTTATCTTTGTACAGAGTAGGAAATTGATAAAACCCCAGTCAAATATCTTTGGAGTCTATATCCTGTTGAGGACATTTCTATCACTTTCTGCCGTAGATGTACAACAAGGAGGAGAATAAAATCCTTCCAAAGCGAGACGAAATCTCTACTTAATTGCCACCGGAACCAGTGTCTCAGTTGGAATATTTTCTCCTGTTCTGATGACAACGTTTTATTTTGTCCACAGCTTGGACACCAACAGCAATATTATGTTGACAGAAATTCTAACCCTTCCTAGCTCCATTGCAAAAAAAAAAATTTTTTAAAAATTATCTATCTAATCTCAATTGCAAATATGCTTATGAAATATCCACTGCTTTAAAGTGAACCTGTTTACAAAGATAAAACTTTTGAACATATGCAGCACGTGGCTGCCAGCATAAGCCATTAGCTTTATGTGAAAAATCTGCCATTAAACTGCCTAGAATCCTGCTGAAATAGCTGTGCAAGTATGTGACTTTCTTAGCGTCACCATCTACAGTTATAGCATGCCCCCTACTCACCACAACACATTTTTGGTTTTGCTGGACACTAAGAAAATCAATAAAACTGCAATCTACAAATATTACATCTCAAGTATGATTTTTTGTGCCACTATACCATCTTTTGTGATAAAATGCCAATAAATAGTAGAAAGGCTAGAAACATTTCCCCTACAAACCATAATTATGTGCATTATGGCCAAAACACAAAATTACATCTTTGATACAGTTCGCAGCATTTATTTTTCTCAGTTCCCCCGTAACATAGTACAGGTGAAACTCAAAAAATTAGAATATCGTGCAAACGTTCATTTATTTCAGTAATGCAACTTAAAAGGTGAAACTAATATATGCGATAGACTCATTACATGCAAAGCAAGATAGTTCAAGCTGTGATTTGTCATAATTGTGATGATTATGGCTTACAGCTCATGAAAACCCCAAATCCACAATCTCTGAAAATTAGAATATTGTGAAAAGGTGCAATATTCTAGGCTCAGTGTCCCACTCTAATCAGCTAATTAAGCCATAACACCTGCAAAGGGTTCCTGAGCCTTTAAGAGGTCTCTCAGTCTGGTTCAGTAGGAATCACAATTATGGGAAAGACTGCTGACCTGACAGTTGTGCAGAAAACCATCATTGACACCCTCCATAAGGAGGGAAAGCCTCAAAAGGTAATTGCAAAAGAAGTTGGATGTTCCCAAAGTGCTGTATCAAAGCTCATTAATAGAAAGTTATGTGGAAGGGAAAAGTGTGGAAGAAAAAGGTGCACAAGCAGCAGGGATGACCGCAGCCTGGAGAGGATTGTCAGGAAAAGGCCATTCAAAAGTGTTGGGGACTTTCACAAGGAGTGGACTGAGGCTGGAGTCAGTGCATCAAGAGCCACCACACACAGACGGATCCTGGACATGGACTTCAAATGTCGTATTCCTATTGTCAAGCCGCTCCTGAACAACAAACAACGTCAGAAGCGTCTTACCCGGGCTAAAGAAAAACAGACCTGGTCTGTTGCTCAGTGGTCCAAAGTCCTCTTTTCTGATGAGAGCAACTTTTGCATCTCATTTGGAAACCAAGGACCCAGAGTATGGAGAAAGAATGGAGAGGCACACACTGCAAGATGCTTGAAGTCCAGTGTGAAGTTTCCACAGTCTGTGTTGATTTGGGGAGCCATGTCATCTGCTGGTGTTGGTCCACTGTCAACGCAGTCGTCTACCAGGAGATTGTGGAGCACTTCATGCTTCCTTCCGCACATGGGCTTTATGGGGATGCAGACTTCATTTTCCAGCAGGACTTGGCACCTGCCCACACTGCCAAAAGCACCAAAACCTGGTTCAATGACCGTGGGATTACGGTGCTTGACTGGCCAGCAAACTCGCCTGACATGAACCCCATAGAGAGGGGCTTTTTGACCAGATCTGACCAGACCCATATGAGGACCCTAGGATTACCTGAAATATTTGTTCTGAATGCGCATTTGGATTGCGTATCTGGTGAGTGCGCAATCTTTATACCTTTATCACCCCACCCATGAATCCAGCCATTGGGGTTCTTTGAAGACTCTCTTGGGTTTTGGATCACGTTATGGACTATACTTATCATCTATAGTCACCTTTTTTATGCACTTTATCAGCACCTTAATGTTGGTTTATATGTATGTGTATATATTAAGTTAGCGCTGCACCTCCCCCCCTTTTATGTATTCTGATTATTTTGGAGGTTTATACGGTACCTTTTTTTGGTGTTCAGCTGCTATTGTCTCATTTTCATTTTTATTTTATTTTATTAATTTTATAATCTAATTCAAGCACTCACTTACCCTGAGATTTACTAATCTTCGTGAAGGCATCCAAAACGAATGAAAAATTCCACGGAGGAAATGTTTTAAGTACCTTAAGAGTCAGTCTCTCTCTCTAGCCAGCAACAACCTTTTCACAAGGGAATCTTCTGCTAGTCTCTGCTCACAATATATGGACATGGCTACCCCTGTACTTTTAAAGTGTTGACTGCCAAACTTCTGTCCACCAAGGCCTGCAAGAAATCTAGCACCATGGGAATGGAGAACGCTAATCTTCCAGATCTGCTTCTCCAACCATGAAAAGTTTTCCAAATGTTTGAATACCTTTTCCTAGTGCAAAGCTTCCAACTGCATAGAAGAGTCTGAATTACGTTCTCTGAGCAACCTTTGGATTTGCGGATCCTCCTTTCAGCCTCCAAGCCATCACGTGGAAGAGATGTGGATTGGGGTGGAGAACCGGCCCCTGGAAAACCAGATCTGGACGATTCAGGAGTATCCAGGGATGGGACACTGACAGAGATAAGAGGATTGAAAACCAACTCCTTTTCGACCAATACCAAGCTATATAGATTACTTGACAGTCCTCCAATACAATCTTCCGAACAACATGCGGAAGGATTGACAGAGGCAGAAAGGCGTAAGCAAAAAGGTTCCGAACCTTCCTTTACCCGCGATCAGATCCACCTCTGGAAGATGCCTGGGATCTGTGAAAAGATTTCTGCACTCAACTCCCATTCCCCTTGCCGTACTGGATTCCAGCTGAGATAATCGGCTAGGACAATGTCCAACCCCTTGAGATGGACTGCTTTTAGAGAATTCAGACAATCCTCTGCCCACAGCAGAATTTCCAGGGCCATGGAAAGCAATTTCGGAGACTTTGTGCCTCCTTGTCTGTTCGAATAAGCCACTGTGGTAGTATTGTCTGAAAGGATTAACATGTCCTGGTTGCGCATGGTGTCTGAGAATTACCTTAGAGCCAACCCCACTGCTAACAGCTCCCTGAAATTGGAGGAAGAATCTGCCATGTCCAACCCACAAGTTCCCTAAGCATGGCAAGGACCCAAATGAGCCCCCCATACCCAGGAGCTGGAGTCCCTAGTAATCTTTATCTTTATCTCCTCAGAGTCCAGGGCCACCCCTTTGTCAGATTTTGTTGATCTCTCTGCCAATCTAGACCCAAAGAATTGTCCTGCGGAAGATTCACTACTCTGTACAAGGTAGTGTAACTGCAATCCTATGAGGCTAGCAAAAATGCCTGAAGCTTTCTTGAGTGCAGCTGGACCCAGGAGACTCTGGGGATGGCCACTGTCTTCAGCCCGAGAACCTTCATGACCTTTCTCAAGGATGCCTGCTGCTGCATCCGGAGGTTCTGGCCCGAGGACATTAATCTGTGTATGTTTGATTCTGTTAGGAACAATTTCTGAGAAACCGAATCTATCCGGTATCCTTAAACTTTCACCATCTGGGAATGATCCAGGCTGGATTTCTTTAGGTTTACTAACCAACCCAAGGAACCCAATTCCAAGAGAACTATCTCCAAGTCTGACTCCAGTTTTGCTCTTGTGGGTAAAAAAATTAATAAATCATCCAGGTAGGGGATAATGTCTATGCTTTGCATAAGCAAGATAACCATGATTTGCGCCAAAACATTTGTGAACACTCTTGGAGCTACCACAAGACCAAACGGAAAAGGCTAAAATTGCCAGTGCTGTAGCCCCTTTTCTGAATGGACTGCAAATCTCAAATATTTCCTGGCAAGTACGATTAACTGGAGATAGGCATCCTGCAAGTCCAGAGAGGCCATAAAGACCTCCTGGTAGAACAGATTCTTCACAGTGTAAATGCTCTCCATTCGAAATTGCTTGTACACCGGGTGGTGGTTCAGGGCTTTCAAACTGATAAGCATCCTGAACCCACCCAAACTCTTTTTTACCAGAAATACATGAGAATAGAATCTTGGAAGTGATGTTCCATTGGAACTGGAACAATCGCCCCCTGAGAAGCCAGGTGGTCCAGCACCCCTCCAAAAGCTTGTGACTTCTCTCTGCCCTTTGGCAGTTTTGTTGCCAAAACATTTGGGGGTGGGGAGAGAAGCAAATTCCAGTCCTTCCTTCACTATTTGAAGAAAAGGGGCTTACTCGCTTCTGTTCCCAAATGTCAGAAAAAAGAGACAGTCTGCCTCCCACCCCAGTGTCAAGGTCCTAGGCCTTTTCCCAGGTAGGTTATGTTAGTGCTAGCATCCATCTTGGATTTCTGCTGAGCATGATGGGAATCTTTTATGCCTTCAGGTCTCTGAGGTCCATCCCCCAGAGGGGTGTGGCTGAGTACATATAAGCCTGGGATCTGCACATGCTTTTGCCTTGTGTGTCTTGTGTCTTTGTCTTGCTACAGCTCTGTGTAACGCTCGTGACTCTTCTGGTATTACGGGAACTCGGCTCGGCTTGTGACTAAGACCGTTTCCCCTTTGATCTGACCTTCTGTTGCTGAACCCGGCCCGTGACCTGTGATTCTCTGTCTACTGTTCTGTACTTTTTGTCCCTTGTTATTGACTACGCTATTGTCATTCTCACCAACTACACGCCATTGGCGGCTTTACTCAGCTGGGGTTCCGCGTTGGTCCCTGGTTGCGTCAAATCCCCACCATCAGGGGCCCTGGTGAAGGGCAGCCTGGGACTTAGAGGGACTGTTGGTGGTGGTTGTCGTCAGCCAGTGCCCTGTCCGTTCCACAGCCCTGCCCTGACCCCAGGCCAGGCGTCCCTTATAGGTTTTGGGAGCGGGGTCTCTTGAGACACACAAAACGCCCTCTTTTCCCTTGGTCTTATCAAAAGACCAATGCTTCCTTCCAGACTGAGGGTTTTTAGAGTCAAGTCTACTTCTCGCCTGCTTACCCCGAAAAGAATCTTTGCTTTGAAAATTCTCTCTCTTCGCCAGAAATTTGCTACCTTTTTCGGAGGAACGAGAAAGAATAGTCGGAAGCCCAGAACCAAATAAATTACCTTCAAATGGTAAACCACAAAGCTTGGATTTAGAAGACAAATCTTCCTCCCAAGCCTTAAGCCAAATGGCCCTAAGGGCAGAGTTCAGAAGTGCGGTAGCCCTGGCAGTGGCTCTAACACTATCAGCTGCTACATCCACTAGAAAGGCTAGACTTGGAAATAAGCAGTGGGGCCTCCCTAAACTGGGTAATAGGGGTGTCTGAGGAGAGGAGCTAATTTCTGACTAGACAAGTGGAGACTAAAGCTGGTCCAAGAGAAAAGCCAAGGCCTCCCAGGCTTTTTTCAACAGGGACTCTGCCTTTCTATCCAGTTGATCTTTAATCATAATGAGTTCATTAGGAAGGGAAGCAGCCTAAGAAGTGGAAGGTTCCTCAGATACTGTAGACCTGACTGAGTGCAAAGTGGAAATAATTTCTTCCTGCATAGAGTGCATAACATTTTTAATGCAGGAAACAGAATCAGAACTCGCAACAGATAAAATACATTTCTCGCAAAATGTTTTTTGTGTGTAAGAATCAGAGAGCTTAGAGCCACAGTTCCCACATCTCCTCCTGGATCTGCGAGCTTCCTGGGAAAATCAAGAGATAAAAATCTAACCAGGACCCTCTCTGTGATCCCCACCCCCTACCTCTCCTACTAGCCCTGGTGCAGCTATCCCTTACCTCAGGAACCAGGGTCTTGGACCCTTCAGTGGAGGTACCTGGCTGGCTAACCGGCTTAGCCTTGGGGGTGTCTGGCCTTGGCTCCACAACATCTCCCTCCTATGCTCAGGTGTTGCAGGCCACTTCCGTCGCTATAGAGGCTGTTACTGCGTTTGCAGTATCTTGAAACAGGCTCTCCTGCATGAAGAACTGGTCCTCTATAACCTGAAGCATCACCACCTCTGTTTAAATACAGCGCCTCGGCGTATCCCTGTCGGCCAGAAGTGAGCAATCGCAACACTCTGGAAGTAACGGTGCCGCCATCTTGATACACTCATCCGGTCGCCTCCCTGCCGCCAGAAGTGATGCACCACTGCCATCTTGGAGAGACCCGGGAGAGACACAGCCAGCAGGGGAAACAACCACTATGGAAATACCCAGAGAATCCAAGGAGGGCAAACATGACTTCAGCCCTACTGCAGCAGAATTATTTTCCCCACTGACTATCATCCGGACCACCAGGAAACAAACGCCTTGTGGCAAAGAGGAGCTTCTGGAGTTGTTCCATAGCCACAGAGGAGCGAGATCCAAGTACCAATCTTAAACCTTCTCAGTGCTCAAACACTCCCTGAAGCCCTACCCACAAGTAGGTTTTGCCATGTTTCTCAAGAAGGCCCTAGCAAGTAAGCAAAATTACCCGCACAGGAAAGAACACAAAAAAAAGACTAGCAATGTGTTCACCTGGAGGGTCAGAAACACAAGAATTACGGAGGACAAAAGGGAGGGAGGGGCTTGTCAGTATTGTGTTTCCTGTAGAGGGCGGAGCCGGTATCCCTCAGGTAGTTGTCCTGGAAGATGCTTTGGGAAACAAGCATTTTCAGAAGTCCAGCAATTAAAGCCTACACATTTCTCTCATAGTAAGTGTACTCAGAGCTGGGCTGAGGCAGCAGAGAACCACCGGCTCTGGGTGCCATACTGTGGAGGCACAGCTGAGGGAGGATCCGAAGAAGATGGACAATGTGGAAGTCACTGACAGAATCGCCAGGTATTCAGTGTGGCTTGACCCAGCCACTGCTCCCTTGTCACTGGATTTGATTAACAGCAGTAGGAGTCCAGTGAGCAGGGATAGAGATAGCAGCCCACTGATCTTTGGCACAACGCTAGATCGAGACTAGGCTCTGTCTGGGGAGGCTGGGGGGAGCTGACAATAGAAGGGTTTTTTTTGTACATTAATGCAGAGAATGCCTTAAGGTAAAAAACCCTTCAGTCTTTACTACCACTTAAATATTTTAGCCAATGAAATGAATAAATGCCAAAAATCATGATGCACCTGGACAGGCCTAATGTGGCGAAACACGTTTTTAAACATGGTTTTCTCCTGCCAGGAGAAATATAACAATGAATGAAGTGATCTGTAACATAAAGGGTATGCATGTGAAACGCTGCCAACATACCCAATAAGACTGCAAAACAGACCAAAAACTGCTGAAAAGAATCCCCCTGGGACCTTAAAGGCAAACGAGTATATACAAAATCAAGCAATAAAAGCAATATCAATCTATATTGGTAGATCTATATTGATAAAAACCACATAGGTCCATAAACCCACAGGAACAGTGTAGTGTGAGTTAGTAGGTAGTATTGCATACAATCCCCAAAAAATTATACAGAATATATGTACCCGAACACATGGAGACACAACGAATGAGACAAAGAATTGCAGTGTTCTGCTGGTGTGTCTTCATGTGTTAGGGTATATATACTTTGTATCGTTTTTTTGATTGTATGCAATACTACCTACTAACCCACACTTTTCAAGTGGTTTTATGGACCTATGTGGTTCTTTTGTTCTTATCAATATAGATCTACCAATATAGATTGATATTGCTTTTTTTGCTTGATTTTGCATATACTAGTCTGCCTTTAAAGTCCCAGGGAGAATCTTTTCACCAGTTTTTGGTCTGTTTAGCAGTCCTGCCAGGAAAAAGGTGTTTACAGGAATTGCAGTATGTATGAGGCCTTAAACTTGTTGCACAGCTAGCCAGTTCAAAATCAATGGAGTCACTATAAACTCAATCTATAATTGCCTCTTCCATTGCTCAAAAACAGCACTGCACATACCTGCTAGGATTTTCATAAATACAGCTATACAGTGATCGAAACTAGAGACAATTCCAACTTACATCTTATCATTCAGCTTTTCCAAAGTAAGATCCATAGCAGCCTCAAGTTTAAAGTAAAGACGATCCTGTAGATCACTGAATACATTTAAAGGGGTCTTTTCAAAAGTAACTTTATTGCAAGCCTGCAGCTGCTCTGCCAGGTTACTTAAGGTAGTAACAATGGAATCACACTCTGTTATGGCAAGTTTCCATTCCTCATGCTGCTTTTCTATAACGTCAAAGCATCGTCTGAGGGACTGCTGAATAGAAACCAATGCCGTGGCCTCTGACATGCTGCAAAAAAAAAAAAAAAAAAAAAAAAAAAAAAAAAAAAAAAAACACACTTTAATAAAATATTAGGAAAAAGCAATTGTTATATGAATTTCTTTATAGGTTGTGGTGCATCTCCGGCCCACATATTCCCCACTCTGGCAGGCTCCCTCCATCTATGTGACTTGTCCTCTAAAATTACATCTATAATGACAGTTCTGATGGCACTATGATGTCTTCAAGTACAATGTGGGACCAATAACCCTGCATTGTTGGTGCAGATTGAAAGGAATGCCTCAGGGTTGTAAGGAGCAAGGGAGAAAAGAATAGGGTATTACATCTTACTCTTCATCCTCTAGAGTCAACAAACAAGCATTTAACCCTTGCAAGGCCCTACTGAAAAGCTAGTTTTTTGTAATTCCCAGAGTTAGGCTTAAATGTAATGTGCTGTGCTTTGACATCCCACAAGGAATCACAAAAGTGTCAATCACCCCTATAAAAATCATTGGGCATATATAACAATGCTTCACAAATTAAATTTTTTCTGAAAGAATGTGTTCTAGCACTATAGACAGAGGCACATTAATATTGAGAAATGAATAGGAAACTTCCTTAAAGTGGAACTATAGGTAAAATCAAAAAAAAGGACATATATGATACAGTCTGTCACTAGCATTAACACAGCAGTTTTTTTTTTTCTCATCCATGTAAAAGTTTTATTACCTGTTGATCCTGACAGTGGATCTCTTATCTTTCCACTTCTTGTAACAGACGCTGTTTATTCTGCAGTGAAGTCATGCAGCAGCATTGTGACCAGGTAGTCTTCGGCCTCATTCATACGGCTGTAACACAGACATAAAAAAAAATGTACTGATCATTAAGGCAAGGAACAAAAGTTACCGTGTAATGATCAGCAAATAGATCTGTTTTTTTATTGGGTAAAAATTGTCTTCATGAAAAATGTTTTTCATGGTATATGTATATATATACACATCTTCAAATGCAGAATTTTGAATTTTGCCTTACAGAACTGAAGGTAGTGCATTTGTATGAATGAATCCTTTGAAATCAATGCAGCTGCATTCAGATCCATGAATAAAAAACAGTTGTAAAAGTTTCTCTTTTTACAGCTCTGTGAAAAGGGCTTAGATGTAGTGTTAGACCACTTATACACGGTTGCAAGAGGTCCATACATCATAAATTCAGGTGTATTTCTCAATCCGGGAGTAAGAGATATGGCATTGGTTGGCCATATCAGTGCAGTCCCACCGTAAGATAAGGCAAAATGCCTTTTCTCCTGTATGCCTAGTTTACACCACTGCTTTGTGATGGAGTGTGTTGAAAAAAAGCACTTTGTGCAGTACTTTTTTGCAGTGAAATGCAAGTTAATCCACTGCCTCACACTGCACGGCTGGCAACTGAACTTTATGAAATGTCTACTTGACGTCTCAAAAAAGTTCATTTAAGGAAAAAAAAAAAAAACAACGGTGTGATGCCCCGAGATGGGCACATTGTGCTGATCTCGAAAGAGCAGGGCCCTCGAACCCCTCGTGTATTGTATTGTTACGGTCTTGTCTCATGTTCTGTCCCCCTTGCTACTGTACAGCGCTGAGCATACCCTTTGGCGCTATATAAATACTGTATAATAATAATAATCTTGGCTAGATTGAACTGCACACCAGCCACCATGTTGCAATGCAGCAGCTGGTGTGAACGAGCCAGCCTGCACAAATCAATCACAGGCTGGCTTATGCCACAGGTGTATTGGTATATATGCAAATCCCTTTGATTACATGCATAAGACTTACGTTATTCACAGCTGTTCACAGACGCTCTCCATCCAATCTAACAGAGCTTGAGCTACTTTGAAAAGAAAAATGGGCAAAATGTTCACTCTCTAGATGTGCAAAGCTGGTAGAGACATCCCCAAAAAGACTTGCAGCTGTAATTGCAGCGAAAGGTGGTTCTAAAAAGTATTGACTCAAGGGGACTGAATACAAATGCACGCCACACTTTTCATATATTTACAGGCATACCTCGGTTTACAAATTTAATTAGTTCTGCGGGACTTTTCGTATAGTGAAAAATTTGTAAACTGAAACGTCGTTTCCCATAGGAATGTATTGAAAACGAATTAATCCGTTCCGGAGGTCAGAAAAAAGTAAACGCTACTAAAATACCGCAGGCGTTATTTTATCAAGTCATGCGGTATTTTAGTAATGACAACCATATGTTAATGTTTCAGCTGTCAGCGGGGTTCCCCCACTGATAGCGGAATGTAAAAGAATTGCCGGCAATTAAAAAAATAATTTAAAAAACGGCGTGCGATCCCTCTCCCATTCATACCACGCCCTTCGGGTCTGGTATGGATTTTGAGGGGAACTCCCAAGCCAAAATTTAACAAAAAAAAAATGGCGTGGGGGTGCCCCCTAAAATCCTTACCAGACCCTTAACCGACGGACATCACCCGAGTGACCCCCGCCCCATGTGACATCATTGATGTCACATGTGGAGGTGTCACATGCGTGATGCCCCCGGGTGGCCCCGCTCCTTACATATTTAAGAACGGTCAAACCACCGAAGCAGGCAGACGACGGGAGCCAAAAATAAAAGTACAAATGCGGCGCTATATAGTATTTACAGTATGCAGGTGGTATCTCACAGTATTAAAACTTATTTGATATAGTACATGCGGATTAATGTGACTGTTGTGACACAGTGAGCAATAATTAACTTTCGTGACTGCTGTGACTGTGGTACTATATAATATTAACAGTATACAAATAGTATCTCACAGTAACAAAGCTTATTGGATATAGTTCATGCGGAGTGATGTGACTGTGGAGACACAGTGAGCAATGATTAACATTCGTGACTGCTGTGGCTGGAAACAATGAGCATACTATGCACTGACCAGATAGTATCACACAGTAATGTAAACTTGTAGGATATAGTTCATGCGAAGTAATGTGACTGTGGTGATACAAAGAACAGCGGATAACTTTCGTGACTGCTGTGGCTGGAAACAATGAGCATACTATGCACTAACCAGATAGCACAGATAAATGTGACGGGAGCCATCGTCGGAAATGGAGCCTTTTTTTTTTTTTTTTTTTTTCGGGTTGGCGGCGCCGGCGGACATCGTGCTTGACGTTGGATCTACTGCAGGGGGCATTCTTTTAGTTTTTTTCTTTTAATAAAGGACTTGTCAAAGACCTGTCCTGTCTTTTTTCACACTACACACTTTTTGTTTTCTGTGAATCAGTAGCGGGACCATGTACCGTATACTCATTCACATGGGGGGGGGGGGGGGAGACCAGAATATGGGGGCCCCCTCGTTAAAGGCGGCTTCCAGATTCTGATAAGTCCCCTGCATGCAGACCCCTACAACCACCGGCCAGGGTTGTGGGGAAAAGGCCCCTGTTCCCATCAACATCATGCCCCCCCCATGATGAGGGCATATGGCCCGGTATGGTTCGGGGGGGGGGGGGGGCGCTTGCTCGTTCCCCCCCCCCCCCTTTCTTGACCTGCCGGGCTGCATGCTTGGATAAGGGTCCAGAATGGATTTTGGGGGGGACCCCCACGCCATTTTTTTTTATTTTGGCGTGGGAGTGCCCCTCAACATCCATACCAGACCGAAGGGCCAGGGTTGTGGGGAAGAGGCCCTTGTTCCCATCAACATCATGCCCCCCCATGATGAGGGCATATGGCCTGGTATGGTTCGGTGGGGGGGGGGGTTAATTGCCCCCCCCTCTTTCCTGACCTGCCGGGCTGCATGCTCGGATAAGGGTCTGGAATGGATTTTGGGGGGGACCGCCACGCCATTTTGTTTTTTATTTTGGTGTGGGAGTGCCCCTCAAAATCCATACCAGACTCGAAGGGCTTGGTATGGGTGGGAGGGGGGACCCCACGCTAGTTTTTTTATTTATTATGGTACCGGTTTTGAAGTGTAATTACCGCTTTTTTTTTTCTTCACTATAGCTCAGAGATTCAGCTGTCACTTTCCCCCCCCCAGATAAAAGAGAAAGTTTCCTTTTGGTTTATTTCCCCAAGTTAAAAGAAACAATGCTTCCTTTTAGTTTCTTAAAAGAAACAGAGTTTCCTTTAACTCCAGGGAAAGTGACAGCTAATTCTGTGAGCTATAGTGAAGAAAAAAAAAAAGCCAGCAATTACATTTAAAATTCAGCACCGCCCTACACTTCGTATTAAAAAAAAATTGTAGAATTCGTAAACCGAGGCATTACTTTCAATGGATTTTCATTTGTAAACCGAAAATTACGTTAACCAAGGTGTTTCTAAACCGAGGTTCACCTGTATTTGTAAAAAAATTTTGAAAACCATTTATCATTTTCTTTCCACTTCACAATTATGTGCCACTTTGTGTTGGTCAATCGCATAAAATCCCAATAAAATACATTTACGTTTTTGGTTGTAACATGACAAAATGTGGAAAATTTCAAGGGATATGAATACATTTTCAAGTCACTGTAGGTATAATTTTTTTTTTTTTTTCAGAAACCATACTTCTCTTTTAACCGCCTCCAGCCCGCCATATAAGGAAATGACGAACAAGCGGCGGTTCTCTCGTTCTGGGAGGACGTCATATGAACCCCCACTCAACCCCTTGGATACAGCTCATCATCGATCAAGGTAAAGAGCCACTGGCTGTGGTTCTTTACCACATGACAGGCTCTGTGCAAGCACAGCCTGTAATAAATGTAAACAACACGGTAACTCACTGTTACCAGCTTCCTCTCCTCACACACAGATCTTGTGAGGAGAGGGATATTCTAACAGTGAGTTACAGTTCTTTACAGTGCAACCACAGATCATAGCCCCTGTCACAGTGCCCATCAGTGTTACCAGTTGCCATCAGTGTACTTGTTGCCCATCAGTGTCCATCAGTATACTTGGTGCCCATCAGTGTACCAATTGCCCATCAGTGTACCTGTCGCCCATCAGTGCTGATCAGCAGTGCACCTGTCGCCCATCAGTGCCCATCAGCAGTACACCTTTCGCCCAT